ATGAACCCCCATATCTACCTAAGAAAGAAACAGTTTTTATTGTCTCACATGTGTAGTTTCAAAGATAGATAAATTAAGGTGCCATTCAAGGCTTGATTCAGAGTAGCTAACTCAATATGAGAGATTTAGTGCATCTGAAAGTGGATGCTTGTGGGATACTTGTGACCTACCTGCTCTCTTTGCCTCTCCTTTAGGTGTCTGCAATCTTGAACCGCTTGTGTCTGCTGCATGAGAAGACCCCAGTGAGTGAACATGTCAGCAAGTGCTGTAGTGGATCCCCGGTAGAAAGGCGACCATGCTTCTCTGCTCTGACGGTTGATGACACATATGTCCCCAAAGAGTTTAAAGCTGAGACATTCACCTTCCACTCTGACATCTGCACACTTCCAGAGAAGGAGAAGCAGATTAAGAAACAAATGTGAGCAATATTTTTCATTGCATCTATCTATTTTTATATTGCATAGGTGTTGATAGTGAGAACTGTCAACTGAACACTTTTTTTTGGATGTATTGGCTGTGTTTCTTAGAGAGAGGTGTTTAGATGCTGACATCACTGAGTTGAAAATGTGTCAAAGTTTTTCACCTATGTGAAACAATTTTGTTTCAAAATCTTTCATTTGACTTCTCTTTATCACTGTGGGTGAAAATCACAGTAGAATAAAATTGTAGTGGAGGCACAATAGTAGAAACTAAACACTAATTGGTAGATACAGACTGAAAAAAATGGTTATGTAAATCATAGAAGTGTTTATTTCATGATATTAATAATTAACTTAAAATGTTCTATGAAGAAGACACGACAGAGCAAAGACAATATCATGGGTGTGACTTTTGAGAATAGAATAAGAAAAAGCTGGAAATATACATAGGAAACTTCAACCCTGGTGAAGGGAGAGGTTCCAATTACATGGAATGTATCAGGGTATAGTCATCACCTTTAGGGACATGTCATTGTGGTCCCCAGACAGTTACAAAACTCATCCCCTACACAACTCCATTTCTCTCGTAATGTTTGTTCTACAGTTGTCAACAACAGAGACCCAGCAATCTCCTCTTGCTTGGCTTGTCAGTCTTTATAGCTTCCCCATTATTCATTTCAAATGGGGCAAATGTTAGAGAGCAAATACCCATATATTAATTGCAAAGACAGAGGTCTTTCAGGAGATTTCCTGAAACTATGTAAAACACAGTGTGACCTGCACTGATTATTCTATTTGATCTAGTCCTAGCAAAGTGGCACCTACCTACCACCCTCATGCACAGTCAAGGTTCCTAAGGTTGGCAGTCGTATGCTTGATCCTCAAAGCCAAAGTTACTTGGCTCCAAGAATTCTAACAACCTTAAAGTATGACCTCGCCCTCCTTCCTCCCTTATTTTCCTGCACTGGAGTAAATGTTTCCTTTCTGTTCTTGCTTTTTGTCCTACTGCAGGGCTCTTGCTGAGCTGGTGAAGCACAAGCCCAAGGCTACAGAAGAGCAGCTGAAGACTGTGATGGGTGATTTTGCACAATTTTTGGATACATGTTGCAAGGCTGCCGACAAGGACACCTGCTTCTCCACTGAGGTAATAAGCCTTTTTGCACTTTGATAATGTTCAGTTTCCCTTTTCTGTACACTCAGTCAGGTTTAGAGCTTCTGAACTCACATACTGAATAATGTGATCAGTCTAGACTTGTTCACTACATTCCTGTAATATAAACTGACTTATGTACAGCTCTTAATTTTTATCTTCTACCACACTGCTGTGTATTAAATATTTATGATCACTATTTGATTTCAAATTTGTGACACATAGGAACATAGTTAGAAATACTTGTAAAGCCCAGAATCATTAACTCATTTAAACCTTGTCCTGAAATGTTACTTTTTGAATTGAGTTATTTTATACACAAATGGAGAACATTTACCATTACATGTCTGAATCATTTCACATTCCCTCCTGTGGCCTAGCAACAGTTCATCCTTTGATTTTGGACACAAGAGATGTCAGAGAGCCTGTTTTAGAAATTCCAACAGATCTGTAATTAAGCAATGTAAAGCATGTGTATTTACCATGTTATCCCCGATAGCTGTGAAGTGCAACTCCTAATAGTCCTGCTTATATTTTTCTAACATCCATCATTTCTTTGTCTTCAGGGTCCAAACCTTGTCACTAGAAGCAAAGCAGCCTTAGCCTAAACATATCACAACCACAACCATCTCAGGTATCTCTACTGGGGGATTTTAATATGTAATCATCATCATTTTTCCTAAAATGATCAAGATTGATAACCATTTGCCTGGTACAACACATATCACACATACATGTGTGGGGTGCTAGGCGGTGTTGCAACAAATATCAGTGTGTCATCTGCCCACCAAGTA